GTTCAATTGATGGAAGCAGTGGAATGGCCTCAAAAACATCAGGATGCATTCAAGCGAATAGGGACTAGACCTCCAACAGGAGTGTTAATGTTTGGTCCTCCTGGATGTAGCAAAACCCTAATGGCACGTGCCGTAGCTTCTGAAGCAGGACTAAATTTCCTTGCAGTAAAGGGCCCAGAACTTTTCAGTAAATGGGTTGGTGAATCTGAGAAGGCTGTTAGATCTCTATTTGCTAAGGCAAGAGCTAATGCCCCATCAATCATTTTTTTTGATGAAATTGATGGTCTTGCTGTCATTCGTGGAAAGGAAAGTGATGGAGTTTCTGTCTCTGATAGAGTTATGAGTCAACTTCTTGTTGAATTGGATGGTCAGTAGAACTTTTTGTTTTTTTAAATTTTTTATATTCAATCGTCAATATTTCCTGGTTCTTACAATCTATACAAGTTCTTTCTAAAATTTAGGTTTACATCAGAGAGTTGGTGTCACTGTCATTGCCGCTACCAATCGGCCAGATAAGATTGATCCAGCCCTTCTAAGGCCAGGTATTACCCGTACGAAACTTCTGTACGCTTATACGCCACCCATCTACAAATACAACAATTGCAGTTCAAATGCATCGTGTCCAGTTTTGATTGATTTATTTTTATTTTTTTAATAAGAAAATTATTGTATCAAACTAGCTGACTGTTAGTTCAAATAGGACGTTTTGATCGGTTGCTATATGTTGGGCCTCCAAATGAATCCGAACGAGAAGAGATATTTCGTATCCATTTGTGCAAAGTTCCTTGCAGCCCAGATGTCAGCACAAGGAAGTTGGCTTCTCTTACCCCAGGGTGTACAGGGGCTGACATATCATTAATTTGCAGAGAAGCAGCCTTATTTGCCCTTGAGGTTTATAGAGTTCCTGTTGTTCTTCCGGCCTTCCAAACTTCAATTTAAAGTTTTATTTATATATAATATAGATCTTACTTTTCTTTTCAGGAAAACCTTGAGGCTTCAAAAATAAATATGCAGCATTTAGAAACTGCAGCTGGACATGTGAAGCCATCTGAAACAGAACCTTATCGAGAATTATCATCTAGGTTTGAAAGGCTTGTTTGTTCTAGCTCACAAGAAGACAATGTTGTATGTCAGCTATCAGGATCTAACTGGTTTTCAATTTGGTGAGTATATTTTCTTTCTTTTATTTTAACTTTGTGGTTTTTGTGAGATCCCACCTCGGTTGGGAAGGAGAACAAAACCCCCTTTGTTAAGGGTGTGGAAACCTCTCCCTAGCAGACGCATTTTAAAAACCTTAAGAGGAAGCCCAGAATGGAAAGCCCAAAAAAGACAATATCTGCTAGCGGTGGGCTTGGGCCGTTACAGATTTTATGTACAATTGGATTGGCTAGATCTTCATTCACTGAATGTGTATCTAGTTTTATGCTGGATAAGGTTTTTGTTTCAAACACTAAAAGGAATCTGCTGACATTCTTCTTGTTTGATTACTATTATTTGAAGAGTATTTATGTGATCTCCTCCGAATTGGAATGTTTATGTCTTGGGAATCTGGTCACTAATGTTCCTTGAATAGAAATGAGTATGGCGATTTATCGGAGAAAAAACGTAGAACTTACGAGTTGTGTCACACGTATAAGGTAGTGACCAGTATATATGAGAATGAATATGGTTGGTTTACGAATATTAGAGAGGGAGAGTTTGAAGTTGTAGAAGCCGTGGTAGCGTATTTCAAAATTTGGTCGCAACCTACTATGGTCGGTTATTTCTCGACTTTACTACATTTAGTTGCAACTCATAGGAGTATATATTCATTCTAGGTAGGTGTTTACCGTTATTTGTATAGTTTTCTTTTGTAAGTGTTCTATCTGTTGATGTAATAACTCATTTCCCCCACAATTCATCTCTGGTATAAAGCAGGCCCCTCGTGAAATCTGCTGCGTTACTTTTTTCTCGGTTTCCAGCTTGGGTTCATCATACGCTTGAAGGCTTCAAATGAGCGGCGACAAATTGGCTGCTGGTGATTCATTTACACATTGTCTTCAAGCAATTGTTCTGTCATGGAAATCACTCAAGAACAAGGTACTCTTTGATGGCTTATTTCAACTATAGCGAGTTTGGAACAGTAACTACGGGCTATTTTTGTACGTAAAAACAAGTTTTTAAAAACTTGAAAAGTCATTTCAAATAGATTCAACGACTGCAACCAATTCTTTTGGAAGACCATGTTTAAACAAGGGGTCCCTGAAGGATGAAGCTGCCATTTACAACTCCTGCTCTGAAGGTACCCTCATTTTCTTTCCAAAATTCTCGTTCTTTCTCCTTTTCGAGCTTACATTTCCGAACACGAATTTGAGTTTTGGGTAGACGTTTGATATATAACCACTGTTCAAGAACAAGGTACTCTCTGATGGGTTATTTCAACTAGTGAGCTTGGACCAGTAACTATGGGCTTCTTCTTCTTTTTTATTTTATTTTATTTTTTTTCTAATCGTAAAAACAAGTTTTTAAACGCTTGAAAAGTCATTTCAAATAGATTCAACGACTGCAACCAATTCTTTTGGAAGGCCCTGTTTAAACTGAGGTCCCCAAAGGATGAAGATGCCATTTACAAATTATGGGCTGCTCTGAAGGTACCCTCGTTTTCTTTTCAAAATTCTCTTTCTCTTTCTCTTTTTCGAGCTACAACCGAACACGAATTTGAGTTTTGGGTAGACGTTCGATTGGGGGATGATGCTTAAATGGATTAAAATATTTAATATATAACCACTGTTCATCTATTCAGCTGCTCCCATCCCATCTGATTCTTGGTCATTTTGGATTGAAATCATTAATAGCAATACAAATGAACGAAGTATTATTGTATTGTGCAGAGAGTAGTTTTCAGGAGCGAGATAGAACAGATTTAAAGGCTTATGAACTGCAGAGGGGTTGAAGCACAAGTGTTGTGGGTGTACGATGGATATTATGTTCTTTGGGCTGTTGCTTTCTTTGAAGGCTTGTGAAAGCTTGGCGGGGTAGAGTTTGGAGCTGAATAGACTTTAGAAATGAAGATCTCTTGCTACTTTTGAATTGGAGTTAGCTTTTCTAGCCCATTTTTTGGTGTATTTATTCATTTTTGTTGTAATAATTATTCAAAAATCGAAGTATTATACCGAAACTAATATTCCATTTCTTGTGTTTCTCGTTTTGTTCTTTTTTTTTTTCTTCTGTGGATTCATTTAGATCCCGTTTGAAAGTTATTCGACTCTTCAAACTTAAGTTAATAAGCACCGACCTCCATTGATAAGTTTCTTTATCACGGATTAAAAAAAATCAAGTTTTAAACTATAAAAAAAGGTTTTGAGATAATCAAGTGGAAAATAAAACAATGAGATCCATCGTTTAAAGTTTATAGTTATTTTTAAAATGTGTTTGTGAGATCCCACATTAATTAGAGAGGAGAATATTGTTAGTAGACGTTGCCTCAAAAGAAGTGTATTGTGAAATTCTACATTAGTTGTAAGCGAAACGAAACATTTTTTATAGTGTGAAAAACATTCTCTTTAGTATACACGTTTTAAAATTTCGAAGGAAAGTATGAAAGGAAAAACCTAAACGTTTTAGAACCTTGAAGGGAAGCCGGAAAGGAAGAATTTAAACAAAACAATATTATCGAGGATAGCCTAGAGAAAACTATATTACTAGAGATAGCCTAGAGAGAACAATATCTACTACTAGGGATGAACTTATGCTAGGGATATAGCTCACTGACAGAGAGAACAATATTTATTCATTATAAAACTTAGTGAGAGTCGGATAATAATTTATAATAAAAATATTAATAATTTCATTTCAAAAGTGGCACTATTGCTATTTTTTAAAAAAACATTAATGCTATTTTCATTATTTAAAATAATATTTATTTTTAATGATTTTTGAAATTTTCTTTATGCATTTTCTATTAAAATTTCTATAAAATAAAGTATCGTCCATAACCAAGATTAAGCTGTGAAGGTACTTGAACCCTAAGCCCCCCCTTAACCTAACAAACCACAGAGAGAGCTTCGCAACACAAAGGAACAATGGGAGTGGAGAAGGAGGTGCTGAGATCTGGAACCGGTCCCAAACCCGTCCCAGGACAGTTGGTCACCGTCCACTGCACCGGATTCGGTCTGTTTCCTTTATCCATTTCTCTCTTCTACAAAACCCTAATCTCCATGTGTTTAATCTGTATGGTTGCCAAGAAAATGCCTGTGGATCAATGTTTGGGACTGTAATCGTGTTCATTTTAGTCCATACTTCGAACCAGATTCAGATTTCTTTGCTCTTTCTGTAATTTATTTATTTAGGAATTTCAATTGAATCATGTACCTCTCTTTTTCCTCAATTGAGTTTATCTACTGTTTGATTTTTACGATTTTTTTCTTTTGTTGATTATTATTATTGATTCTGGAAGTACGATTGAAATGATGGATCGTGAGATCGATTCTAAGTGATGGGCTACTCGCTCAGGATCATACTGCGTAATCAAGATGTGTATCTCTTTGTGCTTTTAATTTCTTAAAAGACCATAGATTATTAAACCAGGTCTCAACATTGAACTCAAGTTTGAAGTACTGAAAGTTGATGTGTTTATGTAAGAATCTGATAGTTGGGTTAGTGATTTTCCATTAGAGATTGATGTATGAATGAAGGGAAATTATTTCTTCTCCTCTTTAATGTTGATCTCTGTGTTTTGGAATATGGACATAAACCAAGTGATCCAATATTTGGTTGTTTCCTCACCATGTTCTTCCCCAACTCGTTTTTCTTTATTTTCCTCACTGTTGAATTTCTTCTGCAGGGAAAAATGGCAACTTGTCTGAGAAGTTTTGGAGGTAAGTTGTTTTCGTTGTATCAAATGTGCATGCCATGTACAATCTGTTTATTGATGTATAATTTTCTCTTATTTAGCACAAAGGACCCTGGACAGAAGCCTTTCTCATTCAAAATCGGTCAAGGCTCAGTTATAAAAGGTACTTATCCTGTATATTTCTCTTTGGAGTTGCTTAAGAAAACTGAACACTTTTGCATTTCATCATAAATCAAATGCTCATTTTTGTCAGCTTTTCAATTTTTTTTTTCTTCACATTCAACTTTGAAAAAATTAGGGACAAAATTGAAAAATGATTATACCTTTAGGACGAAATTATATTCAGTATAGTCCATTCAATGAAAGTTAAGATTGATTTGGGTGCCCTAAGATTGGAAGAACTATGTTTATAAAGTGTGGATGCCAAGTCACTCTTATTCTTTTCTGCAAAAAGCATATGGTTGTTTTGTGTGCAAGTTATGTAACCTTTTCAATAGTGAGGATTGTTAACTTAGAACTGAAATCTAAATCGAGCATTTTAAAGATTGAGGATAAATAATAAAGTAATGATCGTTCAGGGCAAATATAAGAGTTGAACAGTAATTAGGGAGGATAAAATGCTTTACATCTTTGATTCTAGGCTTCTTTATTCCATTGGTGTAACAAAAAACTTTAACTTTCCTTTTAATTACATTCTCTCTCCATTGCCATAGCGACAGTTCATTGTTTATTTGTTTTGTTCTGTTTTCCAATCAAGGATGTATGTACTTGCAGCTTTATATGGCAAAGTAGGTCACTCTCTAAAAGTTGGTTTACTGTTTTATCTTTTACTTACGTGTATCATTTATGTTTCATGTTACAAACATTTAAGTATAATGGATGCAATTAAGTCTTGGCTGTGCAGATCACACTCAACAGTGAATCCTTGGTACAGTGATGCTTAGAAAATTGTGCTAAAATTTACTGCTGCTACTTGAAAATGTTATTTGTAAACTAAAATACTCCATGTATCGGATGTTTGTTGGTTAATATCACTGACATGCTGGGCTTTGTTGGCTATTTGAATGTTTGTTTTGAATCTGAATTTGATTCATCTCTCTGATTGAATTTATAGGATGGGATGAAGGTGTGCTTGGCATGCAACTGGGAGAAGTTGCTCGTCTCCGGGTAAAATATTTAGTTCCAATTGCTTGGTTTCATAATGATAGCATGCTCTTTAGATAACCTAGTTTGTAATCAATATTCTATTCTTGTTTATCAGCTTAAACATGTCTTGAACTCCTTTTTCGGTTTTTGCATTTTGTTGCTTAGAGTTTTGCTCCTGTCACTAAGATATGTTCCAATGTCTGTATTATTTGAACGAAAATTTTCTTCTTGAGCAACTTGGTAAAGTCAGAATGGTTTAAAAATGTCCTCTTCTGAACCTAAGACGTAATTATACATATTTCTCTTGTAATGGTTAATTTAGGTCGTGGTGAATAACCATTTGACTAAAAGTTTCTATGTTTTGTTATCCACTCTCAACTCGTGTTTTAAAAAATTAAACCAAGTGTTTCTTTAACAAAGATGAAAACCATAATTGAAAAAACAGAAAACAAAAAATGAAATGGGACTTCCAAAATCAAGCAGGCAATTTCAGTTTACTTAGTTGATGGTAGCCATTCTCCTACGGATCCTGATCCCCTGATAACATAATAAAAAAATGCCCTTATTGAAAGCATATTATTTTCTTACAAGTATATTGGAGTCGTGGCCTGCTGTTACAGCATTATGTCTGTGTGATAAATCACCTCTACTGCTGCCTTTCCTGATTATATCTTCTATTTTAAGCTTTATGTGATGCTTAGTGCAGTAAACATTTGGGTTCTGGTTTTTGTGCTTCCTTGAACTTTTTATCTTGCCACACTGAGAGCCATGAGTTGCAGGCATCTAATTAGGCGATAGAATACTGAGATTTGAACATATATTTATCTTACACCTCTTGTTTTTTACCATGTTGAATGCTTCTTTTCCAGTGCTCCCCAGACTATGCTTATGGCGCCAGTGGGTTCCCTGCATGGGGCATACAACCAAATTCAGTGTTGGTCTTTGAAATTGAAGTTCTGAGTGCTCAGTAATTCAAACTCTTTGCACAGCTAATGTAGTTTGTTATGAGCCGATCTGCTTTTGGCTGCGTTTTTTTTTTTTTTTTTTTTTTTTTTGAAATCTATCCAGAGATAGTTTGTATGTTTAAATTCAGGTAACTTTTGAATCTCCTGGTCATGAAGCAGTATCTGCCTCTATTATAAGTGCATTAATAAGAAGTGCTTAGTGTGCTTTAATGATGTCCATTCCTTTTCTTTCCCCATATATTTCTATATGAATGCTTACCATTTATTTTATCTGTTCTACATTTTTTAGATTCACAACTGTTTTTATATTATTTTATTAAACCCGTTGGGACGTTGTGGCAGACTAGTGTTCATAGCAACGTTGCTTTTATAAAAATTTTCAAAATGAACTAAATCTGATACATGGCTGACCATACTTGGTGTGGTGGATACCATGATTGTCATATGGCTCGATGCTTAAGTCGTCATCAGTGTGGTTAATGCCATGCTCGGCCTGTAGCTTTGATGCTCAAGTATGTACCATGATTGTCTCATGGACAACCATATCTGGTGTGGTGTTTTCCTAAATCACAATGGTGCTCAAGTTCATACTATGATTGTCTCGTGACCAACCTTACTTAAAGGACGTGATCTCACACTAATGTGGTTTTTTGTCCAACACGTTTCTATAGTGGTGTCTAGTTGAGCCCAATATGACAGCTTACTTTTTAAGATAAGAGTGTCTCCCTATCTATATTGATCTCGTAGACACCATGATATAATTTACAAAGACTTAAGGTGTCATTGGTTTGATTAAGGCTTCTTTACCCTTTTCATGAATCATTGAAATTAGGTAATCTTTACCCTTTTCATTAGGTAAGGTGAACCAAATTAATATGAATTTTTTGTTATGGTTAATGCATGTATTTTGTTATTACTTATTTAACCCTCTTAAAAATAAATATTTATGCTTTTGGAGTCTAATTTTTCAAGCGAGAAAGTAAATCATCAAAAACAATGACAAACCAAGATAAAACCAAGATAAAACCAAGATAAAACCAAGATAAAAGTTAAAAGGATTCTTATTCCATACAATAATATATCTTTATTCCACAGTACACATGCACTCAAATGTGCACTTCCATACATATAAAGAGAGAGCCCTCCCCTTGAGCTTCATAAACAGGAAGAGGTTAGTTAGGTGGAGGGGAAGGATTAGTGGGTGGAAAGAAGAAGGGAAAGTTGGGGAAGGAGGAGGGAATGTTGGGGAAGGAGGAGGAGGGAGTGTTGGGGCCAAAAAAGCTAAATGGAGGAGGCAGGCTGAACCCAGGGGAAACCGGAGGCACATTCATACCAGGCATCTCTAAGGCCAAAAGCTTGCGAGATACGACAATGGAAGACGAAGAACACGAAGAACTCGACAAAGTGAAGCTTGAAAGGAGCAATGTTGCAACACAAGCAATGAGAATAGGAAGACGAGCCATTTTGTGAGTAAATGGAGGGAGTGCATGCAAATTTAAATGGAGGAGTTTTGAGCTAAAATGGAGGTGGGTTTTGGTGTAGAAGGGCTTCTTCATTTATGGGCACTCTAAATGTTGTCAAATTTGGTGGTTTATAATGGTTGAGCTAGGAGGATTGTGTAATGAATAGTGCAACTTAATCTACTACATAAAAATGGAAAACCTATGCTATCTACTTTTGCATGTTTTGAACAAGGACAAGTAGGGTTATGTTCAATGAATGTATACCATTATTTTTAATAACATGGAGGGGAGATTTTGATTCTTTGAGTTCTTGATTGAGGAACGTGTCTTAATTAGCTACACTACGTTACGACAATGAAGATCAAGTTTAGACATGTCTGGAGGTTCAAGAAATTCAGGGAGAACTTTCGATAATTTGGACAATTATAGAAGTTCCAACTTTGACAATTTTGACTGTTCAAATTTTTTGAGAAGGGGAGACGAGGCATTGAGGAAACTCAACCTTTGGTAATGAATGAAGTTCAAGATTTGGCAAAGTGGGTATTTCTCGTTTTGGAAGTTTTTTAGGTACCTTAGATAATGACGTCTCTAAACAATGTCTGGTCTTCGCTACCATCAAAAAATCAAAGTTCATCAACGTAAAAGCATTCAATATCCAATTGTATGCTATCCCATAGCTCTTGGGTCATGCATTTTGGGCATGGAACCCCATTGTCCTCGAGTCTATTGTTGCTGGGTCGGGTGCCTATCATCGATTGAAAAGCTTGCCCTTGTATGATTTGGAAAAGATCGAGCTATTACCGGTTAATTTGCTCGTTGTTAAGTAGTAATAGTTGGAGATGTATATGAGAAAAGGTTTTTCAACTTCATTCTTTTTTTTTATTAAAAAGATGGATCAAGTTGAGACACTTTTTTATAGGATAAGAAACATGTGGTCGAGATTGTAACTACATGCAAGAGAACTTATACTAACATGACTATGATGGACGTAAAACTGAGCCTTTTGGTTTCCACTTCTTTTCTTGTGGACTTAAAGTTGCAATCTTATGCATGATAAGATATGTTATGTTTATAGATATAATCATTACAAATAAGTCAATCTTTCCTGAGTTATTAAATTCTAGTAGGAACAAAAGTCTGTTTGAGTTCTATGATATGCTATTTTCTAATGAATAATTTGTTTATAACTCAATCGTAGACCTAGGCCTCTCTTCTAAGTATGCACCGTTTCATGCATAATATGCACCTTTTTATGCATAGAAGGAAATGAATATGTTCCAACATTTAATGACTTTTATAAACTTACATATACCTGAGATCTCGCCTACAAAATATTACTATAATACAATATAGAAAAAATTCACTCATATTAACATCACTAACGAGCATACATAAAATACATACGCTCATTGTTGTCGTTAAGATTGATGGCTTTTCTTTTCAACATTTCAAGCAACACTGTTCCTAAAATTTAATCGAGCATAAATAATCAACCAAAAAAATTACCTTAATTGATGCCCTCCTTAAATCTTACTTGATTTGAATGAACCAAAACTATAATATAAGGACTTCAAGGCTTAGAGCCTAATTTTCAACACTTGAGAGTTTGAAGACGGCTAAAATGAGTCATTACCCAATGAATCATATCAAAATGGCTCGAGTCTTTGGTGAATAGTGTTTAAATGTGTTCGAACTTATAGATCTAACCTTTGTAAGTTATGGGTAAATTGGTATGTGGTCATTTAGAGTGTGGATGCTTAGATAATGAGTTGATGTGGTGTGGGTATTCACTAATGGTAGGCGCAGTGACTAATGAATATGACCCACGATCGAAATATATCGAAACAAATAAATTAAGCTGAAAGAACAATTTGAGGGGAAAGTTCTTTTGAATTGAAGAACGTTAATCACTTATGTTTTTTAATTCTCTTTATTGTTGTGAATAAAGCATACATCCAATGAGTATTTACATAAAGAAAGTACTAACCATCTTACTAATTAAATCACTAAACTTGGTCTACAATTTAGTGACTATTAACAATGTGTTCCATAAGTTAGTATAAATTAATGACTTATTCTATTAAGTCAAGTTTATTAGCTTACCGACGGTCACATTGTCATTGTTGCATGAGAGGTGTCATTACTGCAACAATGAGCCAATCGAGCCGTCCTACACGTTTGTTGTAGGCCTACTAGAGTTCAAGGGTGCAAGAATGACTCTTCAAAAATTGCATTAAGATGACATTTGCAGAAGTCATGTCAAAGAAAATGCATGGAGCAACTCAATCTAAACGCTTGAACGAGAGTTATGTAGAATCGTAAGTTCACTTTCTAAAGCATCTCTTCGTCGATGATCGAGATCAACGTGAGAGAGACGAAGATGACAAAAAAGAAGGTTGAAAATAATGAAGTGAATAGGTATTACACACACCATCTTCCTTAACAAATTTGAGCAATTTTATGTTAGTAAGTTATATATCAGAGTACATAAATTTTAGTTATGAGTTACAGGTACGATCTTGGGTAAATCATATACATTCACACTTGATCTACCATATTTATTATTCTTTTGACCAACAAATGCACCCATTTCCAAAAGAAAATGGCAGATCTTTGTGTTCATTCAGGTGCCAATCTGTAGCAATAAAATTCAATGCTCAAGAAATGACAATCTGCAACAACATTTCAACAACCCTATCATATCAGTAACAAAGTTAATTCAATCACGACTCTCTACAATGGTATGATATTATTCTGTATTTCTTTACATATAAACGCATGATCATTCCTTTAATTAACCAATGTGGGACTCACTCCCAACATTCAATTCTTGTATAGAGCTCGAGAAAAAACAGGAAAGTTTTTGGAGAAAATAAGGTTCATAAACAAGATTGAGGTCGTTAATCTAAGGAAAAATGGATCAACCAAACAAGTTGTTAAGAAAAAACTAACCCCAATTTGAGAGATGTATCAGAGCTATCATAATCTTGAGAATTATTGACTATTGATTCAGAAGAATGGCCTTGCATGTTGTGTGTTTGGTATGCCATTTTCTCCACCTTCTGCCATGCAAATTCAATCATTTTCTAATCCCATTATTGGTATTAAATAGGTGATGATTGTTAGTACTCACAAGTTGGTTCAATCTTTGATTTTCTTCTATCAGCAAATCAACCTGAACATATTCAAAACTATTTATGATATTCATTTCTAGCAAGAACATAAGAAATATCACATGAATTCAAGTGGGTTTTGGAAAAAGAGGCCTAAGAATTCATTGACAATTACGTCTCGATTCTGATAGCCACCGAGCCCACACATTCTTCAGCCCAACACAAGAAGACTAGTCGAGAAATATGACCCAATGAATAATTAAAAAAAAAAACATAGAGACAAGAGACTCGTAATGCTACTCAACCATCAAACAAAAATTTTTAGGTCAGGTTACGTAAGTGTAATAGGCGGAGACCGCCACTGGTAGATATTGTTTGCTTTAGCCTATTACGTTTCGTTGTCAGACTCATGATTTTAAAATGCGTCTGCTAGGGAGAGGTTTCCACACCCTTATAAGGAATGTTTCGTCCCTCTCTCCAACCATTGTGAGATCTGACAATCCATCCCCCTTGGAGGTCCAACGTCCTTGTTGGCACATCGCCCAGTGTCTAGCTCTGATACCATTGTAAGAGCCCAAACCCACCACTAGCAGATATTGTCTGCTTTGGTCTGTTACATATCACCATCAACATCATGGTTTTAAAATGCATTTACTAAGAGATTTTTACACCCTTATAAGAAATGTTTCGTTTCATTCTCCAGTCAACGTAGGATCTCTATCTGAATCAAGCCAACTAAAAAGGCAAAAGCACAAGTTTCTTGTCAAGTGGTCAAGATCCCCGGCAGCATTCTTGGCAGTGATACAATTGTGTGGCTCTATCAGGTAAGGTAAGATAAAGTTGCTCGGAACACGGTCTAAGATGAAACTAAATCATTTGGATGAACAAAAAGGTGGCGATGGCTCAACTTCACAAGTCACAAGCTCAAACAAGGGTGAAACAAGGAATATGAAATGCATCCAACAATGAGAAAAATGACATTAAGGTTGTTCCAAACTACGATAGAGATATGTCAAATCCCACATCAGTTGTAGAAGGGAACGAAACACCTTCGTAAAGGTGTGGAAACCTCTCCTATCATATGTGTTTTAAAAATGTTGAGAAAAAACTCGAATACGACAATATCTGCTAGTAGTGGGTTTGAGCTATTACAAACCATGACTCTGATACCACTTGGTTAAGACACAACGCTCAACATATTTTAAACCTGGTAAAATATTGTCCACTCTGAACACAAATTTTTATGATTTTTCTTTTGGAACCACCCAACATATTTTGTACGGATCGAGATATTGTTCTTTATTTATATACCCTAACGAAAAAATTGGGTAGTAACTCATCATATCCTTACAAGTCAAACATAAAAGAATAGAATTCTCTAACATTCAAATTTTTTTCGTTAAAATTTTGACATAGATGATCTTTATATAAGTCTTTTAGAACATCCTCCATGGTCATACACGTACCAAATATTAAATAACGAATCTACCTAATACATGTACTATCATTACGGTGTATCTTACCAAATTAATTTAACTCTAAGATGTCTAATGAATTTCTCGATTTGGCCTTTTCGAAATCTATCCATGTGAATATTTAAAACTTCAATTTCGTGGGGGTTGAATGCTGGGTGGATGGAAAGTGCAAAGGCTTCAGTTTTTTGAGAGAGCTCAACGACCCTCAAAGGAATTCAAACTCTAAAGGACTGAAATTTAGTTGTTTTTAGAGACACTAAGGGAGCTTTTCTCTCATATTAATACATGAATCTCTCATATTAATACATGAATCATTTTAATTTATGTAAGGACATTAATGTTTCTATGCTTATATGCTTATATAAAAGATTGCCAAACATTGTTGAGAGACATCGAAATTGAGTTTCATTTTGTATTTATTTAGAGGAATTTGAGAAAAACATTGTGAGTGAGATTTTTTAGTGTGTGAGTTTGAGATATACCCTTTGTAAACACTTTGATCATAGTGATTGGTGACAACCACGTAGATCTTTGTGTCTCTTTGTTTATTTTAATTTGTGGGTGTGTGAGTGTGATCGATCTTGCTTCCGATAACCGTTTGACCATTTATTTTTATGGTAGATTGTCATATCTCACATTGGTTGGGGAGGAGAACGAAACACCCTTTATAAGGATGTGGAAACTTTTCCATAGCAGACACGTTTTAAAGCCTTGAGGGGAAGCCCGAAAGGGAAAGCCCAAAGAGAACAATATTTACTAGCGGTGGGCTTGGACCATTACAAATGGTATAAGAATCAAACACTGGACCATGTGCCAGTGAGTAGGCTGTTCCCTAAAAGGGGTAGACACGATGTGGTGTGCTAGTAAGGGCGCTAGGTCTCGAAAGGAGTGGATTTGGTAGGGGTCCCATATCGATTGAAGAAAGAAACGAGTGTCAGCGAGAATGCTGGATTCTAAAGGGGGTGGATTGTGATATCCCACCTTGGTTGAGGAGGAGAACGAAACACCCTTTATAAGGGTGTGGAAACATTTCCATATCAAACGCGTTTTAAACTTTGAGCGGAAGTTTAAAGAGGATAATATCTGCGCTTGGACCGTTACCATTAAGAACAAAGTTAGTATCAATAGGTAAGAAATTAGTCCACTTTGCTGGCCGCACCCTTTTCTTTTGTTCAAGGATAAGAGCTACTTTGTAATTGGCTTTTTATCCTTCTTTGAAGTGATATTTGGTCTTAAGCTTAATAAAGACAAGTTCAATCATTGGCCTAAACTGTTGATGAAGTTCTCTGCATTTGACCAAACTAGAATGTTTTCTGTGTTGAGGAATGTTAGAGTCTCAATTTAGCTAAGTAAAAAAAAGATCATGAGTATATAAATAGGCAACTTTATCTTGTTGGTATGAGATCTTTTGAAACACTCTAAAATAAAATCATGAGAACTTATACTTAAAGCCGACAATATCATACTATTGTGGAGGCTCGTTGTTCCTTTCATTTCGAACCAAAAAAGGTTATAATGAAACGTGTCTATATGATACTGTGACCAAGAATCTTATCATATCGAAATCCGAGCTGAGATCTCACCACTGAACCTAAAAGCTTATGCTAATGGGTTTATTTTTACGAATGTATTGGACTCGATTGAGAGAAGGGGCATGTCGTAGGCATTGTAAGACACATATTTGAGTTTTGTAGGGAGACTTAGAAACATGACCATCTGGCTGGAAACAGGTAAGACAATTGAGCGAAATTAAACTTACTACAATTCATCCTTTTAAGCTTTTGGGTTAAGTGGTAATTTAACATCTCGCGCTTAATATTACCGTTTAGCTCGAGAAGAGTTCCAACAAAGCTCCTAAATACCCTAATGAACGGTTTCAATAGAAACAAATTTAAATAACTTAAACCCCGTTTGATAACCATTTGTTTTCTCGTTCTTAGTCTCGAAATTCAAATCTATAAGCACTACTTACACCTATAACCTTATTTGTTTCGTTATCCGACACTTTCAATCAATATATCGAAAACCCTAATCCAAGTTTCGAAAAAATAGTTTTTGTTTAAAGAATTCAAGTATTTCCTTCTAAGAAACGGAAAACGGAAAGACGAGAAAGAAACAGATATAAACTCAGAAACAGAAAACGAAAAAATGAAATTGTAATCGTAATCGTTTACCTTCCTTCCAATATCACAGATCAATTCAGCATTTCTTCCATCCTGAAACAAAATATACAAAAGAGTTTCAATCAAATTCATTTACCAACTTAGATTAAATTAGATATTTACACCCAAAAAAGTAGTGTGATAGAATTAACCATCATTTCTGCAACACGGCTGAGTCCTCCAAGAAGAGATTTCTCTAATTTCTTCAGCTCTTCAAGCCCTAATCCTTGAAGCTCCTCTCCCTTCATTTGCCTGTTTGTTACACACATTCATACAAAGCCTGCCTTAAAAATGCTACCATTTTCAGTGCCTTAGTGGTTTTGCATACTCACCTTAGTTCGTGCCTCTTTTTCTCGACTTCTTCGTTCAACTTGGCTCGGATATTACTCTCTAGCTGTTAAAAACATACCCAATTCTCGAAGACATTACTATTTTGTTTGGAAATAATACCGTATAGGTCAAACAAAGAGATTCAAATCGACAACCCGTTAAAGTTCTTCATCTTCGAGTGTCAATATATCTCTAAACTTTAAAGTGTCTAATAAGTCCTTATGATTTTAGTTTTATACGTAATAAATTTCCAATTCATCAACATTTTTTTTAAAATTCTCAAACTTGCTAACTCACTCAATTTAATTTTATCCCAAATAGATATGTTAATGACATATTAGACATCATTAAAGTTTAATGATCTATTAAACCAAAAAGTGAAAGTTCGGAAGACAAACTAGGACATCAACCTAAAAGTTTCGATACTAAACTTGTAATTTAACGTAATCAATTAATTAACATTATCTTCATACTTCATTAAAGATTTGTTTGCTAAAATAATAAAAATAAAATAAAATACCCATAAACTATTTAAAATGTTCCAAAAATACCCTTACCCTTAGGTTTGAATGAAAATCGTTACTACTTTGTTTCAAAAATATCTTTGAAATTTCAATAATATTTCAATAATACCCTTAAACTTTAAAAAGTTTTATTGATACTGAACTTTTTTTAAAGTTTAAAAATACTCTTACTATTAGTACCATGTTTAAAAAATACTCATAAAATTTGAAGAACAGTATTAACACCCTTAACATTTATAAGAAAAATGTCAAAAAAGTTATTACCGTCAATATATGGATAAAAACGGTTTAATTACACCTCATAGATCATCTCAAATGTTTTAATATTACTTTTATAAGTTCATAGATATTTTTGAAACGTGGTACTAATCATTTTTAAAGTTATATATATATATATATATATATTCGAGGTTTGCCCTAAATGGATCTGATTTGAAAGCAGAACTTACCTGAAACTCCACTGATGGTTCATTCAAATTTGGAAGGTTCTCTGAATGGACACTGCTGTGCTTCTCAAGCAGCCCCTGCACACTTCAGAACAAAAAAAGAGAATATTAACAATAAAATTAAGTCAATAGAAATAAATTAATAAATAAATGCTAATGATTTAAAGAAATATTATGATAATTAACGTGGGGAAAATGTTTATTTTAAATGATTAAAAGAGTGCTTTTCTTTAATGTTGATTAATTTCAAGACTATTTTTTAATAAATATTTAAAGAAAAAATGAAATCTTCGGAATATAAAGCCAAACAATATATATATTAATAATTATTAGAATTAACTAGCATACTTTAATAAATATAAGATATAAAAACATGGTGGGTAGAACGTAATTGTCCAAGTCCACTTGTCGGACTTTTCATTTTGGAATTTCTCTCAAATTTTTAAAAGGAAGGTTTACACACCCTTACAAAGAATGTTCAGCTTGCTACGGAGAGATTTCCATACTCTTATAAAGAATGTTCAGCCTGCTACGGAGAGGTTTTCGCACCCTTATAAAGAATGTTTCGTTCTCCTCCCCAACCGTTGCAGTTTTTAAAAGGAGAGGTTTTCATACCCTTACAAAGAATGTTTTGTCTGGTACGGAGAAATTTTCACACCCTTACAAAGAATGTTTCGTTATCCTCCCTCTAACCGATACAGTTTTTAAAAGGAGAGGTTTTCACACCCTAACAAAGAATGTTCCGTCTGTTACGGAAAGGTTTTCACACCCTTACAAATAATGTTTCGTTCTCCTCCTCAACTGATACAGTTTTTAAAAGATGTTTCCACACCCTTACAAAAAAATGTTTCTACGAACAAGTATCTTTACCCTTACAAAGAATATTTCATTCTTCTCCCCAACTGATGCAGAATCTCACCATCCAAGCGGACAATAATTGCTGGCAGTGGGCAGGGTCATTACAAGAAACGACTAAATTTCTAAGAAAAGAGCGTTGGTTCGTTGCCCATTCCTTGTCTAGAGAATATGTGGAGGGAACAAAGATTCAGCCACCACAAAGCTATGAATAAGTTGGTAGGAAGAAGAAGAAGAAAGATGAAACCATCATCAATGTTGAGCACCGACATGGACGGAGCTGAGGGGTTTTGGTGGAGGCATCGATGCAAGCTTCGTAAAGGGTAGTCATGGTGGTAAAGATTCAGAAACGCAGCTTCTGTTGAGATATGATTCAAAGTATTCAAAATGAAGATATGATTTTAAGTAGTTGAGTTATGATTCAAATATTCAAACTACCAAGATTTTAGGAGATTTTAGGAGATTTTTAGTAGTTTTGAATTTATGTAGATTTCCATGATTTACTATTTCTGGTCCAGTGTATAAGCTATAAATACAGGAATTGTGTGACCATCTAAGCATTGGTTAGAAAACATTAATAAAGCACTGCAGCTTCTATCTATTTCTATCTCTTTCACTATCTCTTTTTTTCCAACAGTTTTGGTATCAGAGCCAAGTTCGTTCGACAGAGGGCGATTGATTATTTTCTTTCACAAAACAAAAATGACAGTAGCTGATTTTTCTTCCTCTGCACCGTTGTTACCCATCTTTAATGGTGAGAAATATGAGTGGTGGAGCATCAAGATGAAGACCTTGCTCAGATCGCAGGAGCTATGGGACTTGGTAGAGCACGAGTTTGTTGATGTATTAGAACACACAATAGAAGAAAAGGAGAGATTAAGAGAAACCAAGAAAAACGATGTCAAGGCTCTATTCACTATTTAGCAAGCAGTTCATAAGACTATCTTTTCACGAGTTACAGCAGCAACCACATCAAAGCAGGCATGGTCAATTCTATAGAAGGAGTTTCTAGGAGATTCGAAGGTCATGATAGTGAAATTGCAATCTCTAAGACGTGATTTTGAAACTCTACTCATAACGAATGGCGAATCAATTGCTGATTTTTTGTCAAGAGCAATGGCAATAGTCAGTCAGATGCGCACCTATGGAGAGAAAATCTCAGACGAAACAATTGTTGCAAAGGTGTTAAGAAGCTTGACTCCAAAGTTTGACCATGTGGTGGCTGTCATAGAAGCAGCTAAGGATCTATCCATACACTCCGTTGATGAACTGATGGGCTCACTTCAGGCTCACGAGGTAAGAATCAATAAATCATCAGAAAAGAACGAAGAAAAGGCACTTCAAGTGAAGGAGACAACCAACCACAAAAACAACGAAAGAGAAAATATTCATTTTGCAAGTAGAAGTCGTGGAAGAGGAGGATTTCGCAACTTCCATGGTGGTCGTGATAACAGGGGTAGATGGAGAAGTGATGGACAGAGACAATTCAATGAACAAAGGAATGTCATACAATGTTATCATTGTAGAAGGTATGGGCACACAAAATCTGATTGTTGGTATAAAAATCAACGAATTTTGCAGCAGAGAATGTAGAAGAAGAAGGAAAGCTGCTTATGGCGTGCATGGATACTAATCCAAAAAAGGGTGGCTTATGGTTTGTTGATAGCGGATGCTCGAACCATATGACAGGCACCAAATCCTTATTCAAATATCTTGATGAGACGCAAAAGATTAAGGTGCAACTTGGAAATAAAAAGAGATGCAAGTTGAAGGCAAAGGTACAGTGAAAGTCGAAACCAGTCGAAACCAGTCACGGTAAGATAAAACAATTAGATAATGTTCAATTTGTACCTGATGTAGGGTACAATTTATTGAGTGTTGGACAATTGATGACCAGAGGACATTCAGTTCTATGACAACACATGTGTCATTACACATAAGAAATCAGGCCATAAAGTTCAAATTGTCATGACTTCAAATAAGATGTTTCCACTCCATGTTTCTAACATGGAGGATTTTGCTCTTACTGTTAGCACGAAAGATGACTCAACATTATGGCATCTTAGATATGGACATCTTCATATGAACGGCCTAAAAATACTCAAGGATAAAGGTATAGTTTTTGGATTACTAAGAACTGATTCAACTAATTTGTATGAAGGATGCATTTATGGCAAGCAGACTAGGAAGTCCTTTCCCGTTGGAAATGCTAAAAGAGCTTCACATTAGCTAGAACTAATTCATGTTGATTTATGTGGGCCAATGCAAACGAAGTCCTTGGGTGGGAGTACATACATTTTGCTATTCATTGATGACTATAGTCGCATGAGTTGGGTTTACTTCTTACAACACAAGTCAAAAACTTTTCAGAAGTTCCAGATTTTTAAAGCTATGGTGGAGAACCAAAGTGGCTGTCACATTAAAGTTCTTCACACAGACAGAGGTGACTAGTTCATATCTAAAGAGTTTAATTTGTTTTGTGAAGAATAGGGCATCCAAAGGGAGTTAACAGCTCCCTACACTCCAAAACAAAATGAAATCGTTGAACGAAAAAATCGAACTATTGTGGAGATAGCAAGAAGTATGTTACAAGCAAGGAGACTTCCAAACCAATTTTGGGCAGAAGCCATAGCAACATCTATTTATTTATTAAACCTCTCACCAACAAAGGTTGTTATGAATCGAACTTCTTATGAAGCATGACATGGAAGGAAACCATCTGTAAGTCATTTACGAATCTTTGGTTGTGTTGCTTATGCTTTGAAACATCCTCAAATTCGTCAAAAGCTTGATGAAAAATCTAAAAAATGCATTTTTATTGGCTATTGAGCATATAAATTATACAACCCCATTAGTGAAAAGATTTTAGTTATAAGGGATGTGATATTTAATGAAAACGTGAGTTGAGATTGGAGTAAAGAAAAGGAAAGTGTGTCAAATTCAGTGCATCCACTGTAACGCAAAGTGTGTCAAATTCATCATCTTCAACATCACTAAACAGCAATTCTTCTCTTGAAGAACTTTCAGATGAGACACCTCCAAGGAATTATAAATCTTTAGCTGACATATATGCATAATGTCAATTTGCTCTTACTGTTTCAGACCCTATGAATTATGAAGAAGCAACTGAAAAAGAAGACGGGAAGAAAGCCATGGCAGTAGAGATGCAGTTCGTTAAGAAAGATGGAACATGGAATATGGTTGATCTACCAAACGAAAAGTTTTATGGAGATTTACAAGAAGAGGTTTATGTAACACCTCCAGAGGGATTCATAAAGGAAGACAAAAAAACAAAGGTATATAAGCTGAGACAGACATTGTATGGGTTAAAGCAGACATATTTACGAAGGCCTTGTCAAAAGAAAAGCTCTGTAGTTGACATCTACAACTTTGAATCAAGGGGGAGTGTTGAGATATGATTCAAATATTCAAACTACCAAGATTTTAGGAGATTGTTAGTAGATTTGAATTTATCTAGATTTCCATGAGTTACTATTTCTAGTCCAGTGTATAAGCTATAAATAAAGGAATTGTGTGACCGTCTAAGCATTGAGTTAGAAAACATTAATAAAGCACTGCAGTTTCTATCTATTCTTATCTCTTTCACTATCCCATTTTTTCCAACAGCTTCTGCAGACATAGACTTGGTTGGAAGAAAGGGATGTCAAAACAAGGGACAAGCTTAACCCTAGCCACCTCAAGAAAATGAGACAGCAGGTTGTTGCATCATGGCTTGGACTTTCTCATCTTCGCAGCGCATGCGTATTGCCACACGTTGCGCTTGTTAAAAAGAAAAGGAGTTCTTCAGAAGGGTTGATTCTGAGTGAGCAGGTCTAACTATGTGCAAGAGGGTAACAACGGAGTCCTTGAGTTTCTTCCATAATCGTCAGCATACCATTAAATTTAGTGAATTGTATAAGCTAAGTGGTGTTGGTTTGGTTGGGATAGGTATCATGGTGATATATATAGTAAACGACTATTTATAGTAAAAAAAAAAGTGGTAGAGATTTATGGTAGATATTTACTAAGAGGGTTATATGGATTTAAGCTATTATATATATATATATATATATAGACTAAAATGAAAACATATATATGCCCTTTAGGTGGTACTTTGAATATGTACTTTCTACCTTCTCTATATTCTCCTGATCTTTGTGTTCATCTAGATCGAGTGTGTGCATTGTTGTGCAATCCTAACAACTAGTATCAGAGCTAGGCGAAATTCAC